TCCCACCCCGCATGCGCTCTCAGCCCTTCCTTGTCCTGCTCTGTGTCTCGGGAGGCCGGCCTCTGAGGACGGCACCTCCCAGTTTCCCCCTTGACCTTGGCTTCTAGTTGGGCTGTGCTGATAGGAGGCATCAGCAGGATACTGGAAGGTGGAAGCAGGGAGAGGTCGGGGTACTCAATTCCCTTCTGTCCAAAGGGGCCCCTGTCTCCTGCCTCCCGAGTGCCGGCTCCGGGACTTGGCTCTGGGAAAACCCTTCCCTTCCGCCACCATTCAGCCCTCAGAGGCTGCCCACAGTTACTAGTCTTGGGGGTTCCCATCCCTCTGTGACCCCCCCAAATCACGTACACATCTCTGTCACTAACCACCTCAGTAACCTCTTTCCAGTTCAAAATTTGTTAGCATATCATCTCTGCCTCTTAGAACAATCTTCTTGCTTTTGCCTTCTCCGAGGACTACTCATGAATATTTACCTAATTTTTTCTTAAAATCAAATTATTACCTACTTAAATGAGTTTTAAAGGAAACATGCAATCCCTAGCATAAATTAAAAGCCACGTCCATGCACCCTAATCAAATACAACCGTAAAAAAGCAGGGCAGGCCCTGGCTGGCGTAGCTCAGTGGATTGAACACGGGCTGCGAACCAAAGTGTCACAGGTTCGATTCCCAGTCAGGGTACATGCCTGGGTTGCAGGCCATGACCTCCAGCAACCACATTGATGTTTCTCTCTCTCCCTCTATCTCCCTCCCTTCCCTCTCTAAAAATAAATAAATAAAATCTTTAAAAAAAAAAAAAGCAGGGCAGAAACTGCAGTATCATGGAGCTCTGGCCAGCTGCTGTTGCCCCCCAGGGCTCTGAGCTTGAGCTCTCCTCACTCTGCTGGTAGAAACAGAGAAACGTAAGAGTTCAAAGGGGTTAAGGACATCCTGCCACCACACTGACATGTCCTGGTTGGTACACCCTCAAGGGTCACTCGAGGGAGGATTGTTAAGAGAATCCCTTCCTCGTGGTGTGAGTCCATGGGATGGGATACCCCATCCAAAAGGTGACCTGTGTCACAGATTTTAGATGACGTTGCCCCTCAGCGGCCAGTAGCAAGTAACTACTGAGTCAGTTTACAGCCACATGTTAGGTCTTCCACATGCTATTAGAAGATACTAGGAGGAGATACACGCATAAGGAAGCATGCCATCCACGCCTACGATGGCAGGAAGTCATTAGCCCTCTCTCAATGAGACCGGCCATGCTGGCAGTGATACCAAAGGCACAAGTGGGTCTTTCTTTCTCTGCTAATACTCTTCACATTGCAAACTGGACAAACAGGAACAGGTGGGCAGGCCGAGTGTCAAGGTCAATGTGCCCGTGTGCATAGGTTGTGTTTTCCTGAGGTTACACATGGTGAGGAAGTTCAATGTTACCAAAGCAGACAGTTTAAGGTAGGCACGCAGCGATGCTTCCCATTGGCTGGGGAGAATGACATAAGTGACATCACCGCGTTTCTCTTGCACAGCGTGGTAGCCATGAACTATTGATTCCTCCACGTCAGAACGGCAGCGTTCATCAGACGTACACCTGCCTAGCCAGCATTCCAGGTGGGCTGCAAAGCGCCCGTACAAAGCACGTCTCAGGGCCCTGCTGCATCCACCCAGCCCTGTGGCTCCCGCTGTGTTTTATTAGGCAAATATAAAATTAACAACACAGCAATAATTATTTCCTAAACTAGCTCCAACACAAATCCCCAATTTGAGGTCAGATGTATTGCCTAATAAACTTTTTACAGCTGTGGTCAAATGGTGGTAGTTAATTCCTGGAAAACACAAGTCAGAATTCACCAGAGTTAGTTTTTAGGTCTTGATTCATCCTATAAAGACAAGTGTGCATTAGCTGCGGTTTCTACAGAAATGTTCAACTGGTAACATCCAATGTAATCGCTTGCATAATTCCAGCTAATTCTGTTAGAGGTGTTTGACCGACTTGCACTTTCACTGAACCGTACATCACGGCTTGGAGATCGCTGGGTCTGGTCTTTCTAAATTGCCCTTTCTTGAACTGTGGAAGTATTGCTTAATGTTATGTAGCTAAACACGGAATCATGTCAAAGAGGAAAGAATAATTGGAATATTATCCACGAAGCAGGATTCGACTTACAGTCCTATTGCTACCACTCATTTGTTACTTCGAGGCCTGTGGCTTAATTGCAGGCTCCGAGCTGCTGTCGGAGCTGCAAATCCACACCCGCCTCCCTGCAGAAGCCATAACATTTCACTGGCTCAGGTGCATCCAAACCTGAACATGTAGTTGGAAATACTGACATGTTAAAAGTAGAGACGGAGAATGGGTGTGAGAGGCAAACGCAGCACCCGAGACGGGCCAGGCTCTGCTCTGAGTGTTTTACGTATGCTAACATTTTACTCCTCGCAGCCCAGAAGGCTAGAGTGTTTATTAGCACACCCATTTTACAGGCGAGAAAACAGAGGCACAGAGAGAGAGTAGCTAGCTCAGCGCATACCACACAGTTGCACGACCATGGCGGAGCTGGTATTCAAGTCCAGAGAATTCGACCCTAGAGCTTCTGCTTCCGACCACTTTGCAGTGTCGTGTGAGATATAGAATCCTAACTAAAACATGATCCATACCCATCATGGATTAGGCCCCTCTTTAGGAAAAAGAAGTGGACGCGTGTGAAACATTTAGAGATATGAAAGACCAATAGGAGAAGGGTGCTTGGGGTTCTAATGCTGCTAAGGCCGAGGACGTGCCCTTGTGTCAACAAGGACACAATGCGCAGACTTCTGGAAGTGACCACCTTCTGCAAAACCAATGCAGACCGGCTTCTGGGTGAGGACCAGGCAGGCCCGGTCACGCTTTCTTTGATCTCTAAAACGTATTTGTTCCCTGCCTGGGATCTTGGCACCTGGCTGCAGAGTGGTGGGAAGGGCCAAACTTTTGTACCTTGACAGACCCGAGTTAACGCCTGTCCAGCCACTCCCTAGCTCTGTGGCCCGAAGCGAAGCGCTTCACGGGGCTGCACCTTCCTTTCTCCCCCATCTGTTGATGGGGTCACATCTGCCTCTCACACGCCCAGTCCATACACCCCTACTGCAGACACACTGATCTCTCGGTCGGGGGGTTCTTGAGTTGCAAGCCATGGAAACCAGCATTGGCTAACTGAAGGGAAATAATTAGTCCGAGAGCTATGGCGCCGCCACATCGTGGAATAAAAAGCAAAAGAGTCGTCTGGAGAAGGGACAGGAAGTAGAGGCGCTCAGAGTCACAGCGACGACTAGCAGAGCTGGAGCAGGCCAAGGTCATGGTACACTGAACGCCGTCAGTACGGCTTCATTCTTCCCCCTCCTGTCCCGGGCCGCCTCTCAGCAGATTCTTTGCCCGTTCTAACCCACGCTGCGCCCGCTCCGCGCAAAGCACAATGCTCCGTGTGAAGAATGTGAAAAGGAATAACCCGGTCCCTGCCAAAAAGTCAGCAATGCCCTCGCCCAGAGTATTATTTTATGTTGTTGAGAAATACCCAGATGAATCATTCATCTCCGAAATAAATGGCTCATGTCAAAACATTTGCTAATGCAGACAAAGCTGACTGAAATAAATGGCTGAATAACCCATTGTTTGGAAATCTCCAAGAGTAATATATATTACAATCAGATAAATCAAAATTACAAAGGATTTTCTGCTGCTTTTCAAAATGCTTGCCAGAAGTTGGTCAAGTGACAGTGTGAAGGGTAATCATTTTAACAAGTGGTTGCCGGTTACCTCTGGGGAGTGAAACTGGGCAGGCGGGGGAGGAGGGGGAGGGGGTGGACAGAAGGAAGACCACTTTTCATGCTGTTATCTCCCGGAGGGCTTGAAGTGGTAAACTGAATGTACATGCTTATATTATAATAGTTAAATAACTAGTTTAAATACAAATATACTCAGGGCACCCTGCCTGGGGTGCTCAGTGGATTGAGCACGGGCTGTGAACCAAAGTGTGGCAGGTTCGATTCCCAGTCAGGGCACATGCCTGGGTTGCAGGCCATGACCCCCAGCAACCACACATTGATGTTTCTCTCTCTCTCTATCTCCCTCCCTTTCCTCTCTAAAAATAAATAAAATCTTAAATAAAAAAAATATACTCAGGGCACTTGCAGTTGATTAAAATAAACAAAACACCATCTTAAACTAGTAAGCTAGTTTAGGCTGAAAGGGGGGTGTTGGGTGGACGTGGAGGCAAGACCAGCTCATGCATTTGCTCTTCGTCTCTCTGTCTCCACCGCCGTCTCTCCTCTCTGCATCTCTCTTCCTGTGGCTGTTGCCATGAAGCTAGAGCTTTCACTAACGGTGCTCCTAGCCTCATGTCCTCACGGCTGTGCCTAGAAAGAAGGTTCTCTCTCTCCCATTTCAGCTGGGAAATCCCTAGGTTACAGCCATGGCCGGTATGGCTAAAGGCTGTTGGCCCCCCTTGGACTAGGGTTGAAAGAGTATAATTAGCTCAGCTTTTGGGTGAGACGCTCACCCTTTGGCCAATCGGTGAGGCAGAGAGGAGGCCCTGGTGGCTCTCGTTCTGTCCGTACAGAGGGCGGTGGGAGGAGAGAGTTGGGTCGGGCCAGGGTAGCCGTGGAGGGAGCCTCTGTGTGTGTGTGTGCACGCGGGGAGGGGGGCCTTCCCCGTGCGTGTCCGCCCCTGAAGTCCCTGAGCTGGCTCCCTGGACCCCGGCCCTTACTCCCCCCACACCTGAACTCCTGGCTCAGAGGACACCTGAGAAACCAGATCCTCAGTCTCAGGCGAGTCGTCTTGTTTGAAAAAGAACTTGAGTGTCTAAGTCTTTCACAGTAAGTCACAGAGTAAACATTAAGTTACTGATTAGCCTTGCTTCCCTTCTAAGGCAAATCCCAGCAGACGGAGGGCAGGGTTGCAAGCCCCTTGATTTCTGCCCATCTTTGCACCCCCCGTGGGTGGCAGTCATCACGTAACTACGTATGTATTGAGCACCTACTATGTGCCAGGTACCGTGGGCGAGACAGAGCATGTGTTCTAGCAGGGCAGGCAACACGCTCACGCGTATCTCCAACGATTCCTATTATGACAAGGGCTCCCCAGAACCCGCAAGCCGGGCAGGAGGACCAAGAATTTCAGGTATGTGGGAGGCATGCTAGAGAGTGGGGTCAAGGATGGCCTCTCTGAGGACGTGACATTTGCACAGACCTGAGTGGATGAGGGGTTTCCGCCGGCCGGTTTAACAACAGAAACAACTGCCTTAAGGCGAAAACAGTTGACAGGTTTGAGGAGCAGCGAGGAGGGCACCACAGCCGGGGCAGAGGGAAAAGGGGGTGGATGGAGGGAAGCCAAGAGGGAGAGGCTGCAGGGGCAGGTCCTAGGGCCGGGGGGCAGCCACCTGGCAGGCCACGAGAAGATCTGGAATATTCCCCTGCACGGGATAAGGCACTTTGCCGTGTTTCTACCAGGGGCGTGGCAGGGACTGACTGATGTTGTTAAAGTGCCCGGTCAGTGGTAGGCTCTCAATAAATATTTGTTAGCAATTTAAAATACAAAAGAAACTCAGACCTAAAAAAAGAAAAGTTAGTAGTCTCCTTGGCAGGAGAGGCACACGTCTCCTTGTGCTCTCGGCTAACGATGGGAACGGACGGCCATTGGTCTGGTGCTCCGGAGTCTACCACGCTCTTTCACCCCCAGGGTCTCCTCCGGCCTCTCCCCAGGACGCAGATACGTGACCACACGACAGCCAGGGCCACGCACAGGCAGAGACGCGTCCGCCCCTGCTCAGGCTGTGGGGGTCTCACCCGGCTGTCCCAGGCGAGCGCAGGCTGCGAGTCCAGGAGGTGCCCCCGGGAAGCCCAGCCCCGTCCTTACTTAGCACGCCCACCCACAACAAAGGAGGGAGAGTCTCGGACCTCCCCTCATCTTCCCAGGCCCACCCTAAGGGCTTAGCTTGTGAGCTGGGAGTGGGGGGCCGGGGTACGGGGTGACCAGGGAACCGAGGAGCCCAGCTCAAGAGAGGACGTACGCTGTGCGAGATTTGCTTTTTCTCTCTCTCTCTTCGACTTAAACATGAGCGTTTCTTTGGTGGTTAACAAAGACAAATCTTTTAATGTGCCCCTCAGGCCTGGGATGAAGGCCATGAGAAACAATGGCAGAGGAGGGGGGCCCTGGGGAGCCCCTGATTTAAAGGGCTGGTGTCAAGGCCCTCGGTTACATCATGGGGCCACTCTCTGGAGCAGAGCTGAGCAGTCGCCATCCCAGACTCACGGCGCCTCCTGCCACAGCCTCAGGAATCAGTGCCCTCTGGTTTTCCTGACCTCAGTAAAGTCATCTTTCCTGGCCGTCCCCACCCGCATGGGGATAGGTGGTCTCTTACCCTTTCTTCTGGGAACCCTGGAAGCAAGGTGGGAGGGATAGCCCAGGCTCCCTCCCACAGAGCCAGGTAGGCCAGGGGGCCGGTTCCTGCTCTCACTGTCTTCCCGACCTTGGGCAAAGGGCGGAACAGCTGCCCAGGAGGCAATTCCAGATTCGAAGCTCAAAGGTTTCCTGGTTCAAGGGCAGCAGTGGTAAAGCCTGGGGCATTGCCAGCTCCACTCCCTGCGAAAGCTGCTGGGCCTTCGGAGCCTCCAGCTTGGCGCGCTGGCCTCCCAGACTGCCCAGCCCCCAGGGCTAGCCTTTACCGCTGAAACACCACCTCTACCCTGGCACGTCACTGCCGACACGCTGCTCAGATTGTCCTTCGTCTCGGGGTGTTTTTAAACGTCTCTTCGCGGCACGCCCCAGCGACTTTTCACGGGAGTCCTGAGACAGGGCCGTCAGACTCTGCGCAGTGAGCACCCGTGTCAATGTGTTAACGAGCCACCGCATCAGCAGCGGCAAAGTACACGCGTGAGCCCCGGATGCAAATAGAGTCGTTGGAGAAAAACCAGTCAAGCTGCGTTTCGGGTGTCACTCATGGTTATTAAATTGGAAAAGGAAAAGGCAGCATGAAAGTGTGTGTGTGTTTGGGGGAGGGGGGAACGTGGTTGGGGCAGACGAACTTATCCTATGTTGGGAAAAGCAGGCTCAAAATGCCATGAGTGGCCCCGATTATGCATTCTGATGCAAAGGGCTCCCAGCCGACCGACCGACCGACCGTGGGGGCACCGGGAGCCCAGCTCCCAGACCCGGGGCCGCACATCCCCTAACAACTTGATTCATCAACGCCGGCCTGCAGTTCAATCCCGCTTCCTCCGCGTATCTCCCGCAGATAAAAGGCCCCATTCTCCGGCTTCCCCCGGCTTTGTGCGCCGTGAAAACACCACTTTGTGCCCACGTTGTGTTAAAATAACAGATCTGTGTTCGTTCCTGCAGGTTTCGGACGGGAGGATGGAGGCAGGGCATCTTCCCGGCGGATGGCCGGGCGCCTTGGGAGGGGGGAGGATGGAGAGAAAGGGTCTCCAACAGGGAACCTTTGTCCCGGGATGCAAATGAGGCTCCGCGAGCCGCCCTGGCCAGGCCAGCCGGGTCCCCGCCGCCAACCCACCCATCTGCGGCTATTTTGTTAACCCGCTGTTTCCTGCATTCTTTCTCTCGCGCCACATACTTGATGTTGACAGCTGTGAATTTTAAACACCCATTCTGGGTATGGTTTTCTAATTTTGTGTATTCGGATTGTCCCTCCATGGGGGAGGGGGAGTGGGGGCGGGGAGCCAAGTACCTCGCGTTCCTTCGTTTAGAGCTTTCTTTCGAGCTCTTTGAAAGTCGCGCGGGGACTCTGATGGCCGCTCGAAGTGGGGACGGAGCGTGCCCCCCGGCGGCACTGGGAAACGGGACGGGCTGTGCAAGGTTGCAGGCTGAGGGGGTCGGGAGGCAGGCCTGGGCCGCGGCGCGCCGGGCAGACGCACTCTGGCGGCCCAGGAGCTGAGAGTCCTCTTCCGTGCCCGCCCTGCCTGCCTGCCTGCCTGTAAAATGGGTCGCCACGGCGTTCTCCAAAGACCAGGCATAAAGACCTCCCACACCCAGGCCATCAACCCCGTCTTATGTCCCCTTTCCCCTTGGCCCTCACGTGGTTCTGGCAGCCCATCCTTTTCTTCTCCATTTTATGGAATTTACTGGCGTGACGCCGGTTCACAAAATCACACAGGTTTCAGGTACATGATCCCACCACACATCATCCGTACACTGTGGGGCGGGTTCACCGCCCCAGGTCAAGTCTCCGTCCGTCACCCTCTATCCACCCACACCCTCCCTCCCCCACCTCCCCCCCGCCCATCACCACCCTGTCATTTTTGTCCCACCCCTCCCCACACCCAGCCCCGCCCCTGACAGCTGTCAGCCTGCTCTCTCTGTGAGTCTGTCTGTATTCTGCACGTTGGTTCATTTTGTTCATTCAGTTCTACATATGAGTGAGACCATATGGTACTCGTCTTCCTCTGACTGGCTTATCTCACTCAGCATAATGCTCCCCAGGTCCCTCCATGCTGTCCCGAGGGGTGTGATTCCCTTCTGTTTTTACGGCCGGGTGGTGTTCCATGCGCAAAGGTATGTATGTTTTTAAGTATGAAGAACAAAAAGCGCCCTCAGCCCAAGGCCTGGCCTCATAAGACACTGGATTGGCTGCAGCATGTTTCAATTTGTGTATTTATTTATGCTTTTGCTTATCTTTGATATGAGGAAGATCACATCACAACCCAAAACACACAGAATAGGAACAAAGACTCTGGACAAGAAAAGAAAATCTTGCCAGCAGGGCCATCCGAAGGCTCAAAATGCTTGCTATCATTGAACTTGGAGATCTGACTCAGAGCCTCCCGGCAGCAAGAGGGAAAGGGGAATCATGACCAAAGACAAAGTCTCACTTCCCTCGGGCATTCGGTTAGAAAATTTTTCCAGGAATGTCATTAAAAAACAAAAACAAAAACACTTGGCACTCCGGGATCTTCAGCAGGGGGCAATGAGAAGTTAGTTCAACGTCAACTTGAGAGCAAACGCAGTTGCAAAATCCCCAGAGCTAGAGCAAAACAAAGTACAAAGTATGGCCGGTGGGCACCTGTCCAGTGCCCACTCCAGGTGCGGAGGGGTAGGTCCACAGAGCCCTGCCGAGAGGAGGAGGCAAGGCCACATCTAGGGTGGGCAGTGAGGAGGGCCCACGGCGCACCACAGGTATGCTGGGTGACGCCTCAGCCTGGGCAAAATAAACGCAGCATAAACGAGCAGGTTTCCGGTGTCCAACGCGACCCAAAGATAGAACTCTGGGGCCCAGAGGAGTGCGTGGTTTGATGATCCCTCAGCGTCCCTGAATAACACTGTTCTCATCCGGGCCATCCAGAGGGGCGGGCAGGCTGGCGAGGGGTTCCGCCAAGCTCGGAAGACGGAGGGAGCAGGTGGGAGGGCTGCCGGCCTGAACCGCAGGAGGCTGACACGTAATCACGTCTGGATTCAGGGCCACGCGCCTCTGCGCGGCCTGGGCCCAGTGCTGGTTTTCGTGGGTTTTTTTTTTTAATGTAAAATATTCATTTCTACAAGATGTTAGCAGACTTTTTCACTTTCTTTTAGTTTTCTGTATTGTTTGAACTTATTTGAACACATGACTTTTGTAATTAAAAAAGAGTAGGTAATCATTTTAAATTAGTTGTTTTTCTTTCCTTCATTTTTCTTTATTTTTTTTCTTTTCTCCTTCCCTCCCTCCCTCCCTCCCTCCCTCCCTCCCCAGTCATGCCAACAATTGGGGGTACCCTTACAATGCACTAAAACACAGGATTGAAGACCAGGTCCTCACCGAACTGGATTCCAACCACCTGGAACCACTGAGCTCGGCCCATCCTCAGGGGGGAAACCGATGACAGACAGGAAAACAGGTTTGTGGAGGGCTGGAGAGCCTGTGGTGGCCACCGACACTTCACAGCTCCACCACGGTCACCCAGCCACACCCAGGCTCCGAGACCTCCACCTCCCCAGGACAAGGGCCTGCCTGGGACCCCGAAAACCTGCCGGCTTCCCTGTCATCCAGAGAACAACTTTCAAAAGTCCACTGGCAGGAGACAGCAGAAGGAAATATGCAAGAACAAAAATTATTCAAAACCGGAGTGGGTTGCGCGGAAAACGGAAAGCCCAGGTGACTGGGCTGCGTCCACAGACGCCGCCTCCAACCTCACGGCCTGATCCGCACCCCCAGGCGCTCGCTTCTCTGTCAACCCCGAGCTCCTGCTGGTCGTGTGCAAGTATCTGAACTCATCCTCAGAGGGCTCTGCCGGAGCCGGGGATGTTATACAAAGCCGTTTTCTGGTGAGCCTTCAATTAACCAGCAAATCTGATTCATTGTGCGTGAACTTCTACTTCCAGGATATAGTCCGATCCAAGGCGTATGCAAATCTGGGTAAAAATAAAGTCCCGCGGAGAAGGAGCTCCCTGGTATTTGTTTTAGGGCGAGGAAGAATGGAACAACAAGACAGAGAGGGCCCCGGGCCAAGGAAAGCACTATATTTAGATGTGAAGGGCTTTGTTTGGCCCCCGATTCGGGTGCAGACACCCGCCAGCCGGGAACAAGGGGGCCATTCAATCAACCCACCTGACACGCTGCCGTCGCCGGCCCCGTGCTTTTCCACAGGCACGGGGCCCGCAAACCTTCCTGCAAGATGCCGTCGGCTGAGAGGAGGTAACAGCTGCTCCGCGGCAATTAACCAGCACTTTCTGCTGCTGAAGGAGATTATTTTGGATGGCGTAAAAAGATTCAAATAAAAATGTCAACGTGCCCATTAGGGATGAAAGTTAGAAAAACTTAAGTGCCCCCGAATTAATCACTGTTTGACAGGAAGGCACATAAACGAGTACTAAAAAAAAAAAAACCCCACAAATCTATTTTCCTGCCGCTCGGGCGATCGTAAAGAAGATCGCTGGGGGCCGGGAGGGGAGCCTTGGCTGCAACCTTAATTCAACTCAGAGTGAAGATTTAATGACAAAGTTACAAGCCCTTCAAGTAGCATTTATCGAGGGGCTAATGAGAGTCCGGAAGAGCTCTGTTTTTACAAAAAGCAGTCCCCAACACAAGAGGCCTTTGAAAATATGGGAAGAGAGGGGAGTTCATTAGTCTTTTTTTTTCCCTTCTCCTTTCTCAACAATGAATATTTCTGCTGCCAAACCTTCAGGAATAGGGTTGGTTTCCTTTCAAGTAATTCATGCAGACTTGGCATCCGCGTGGAGGCCAGACAACCTCGGCACCGAGGCGCAGGAAATCACACCGTCGAAAGGAAGCCGCGCGCTCCTTCCTCCCCGGGCTGGGCCGGCCCTGCGCAGCCCTGCGCTGGTGCTGCGGCTGCCAGAACGCCTCCCATTTCCATCCCCTCCCACGGCTAAGATAACGAGAGCCGCCTTCAGCCTCGAAGGGCTGCTCTTACTTCAGACCCCAGCGACGCTGGAACAAAACCCGTGGCTGTCGCCCCGAATCGAGCAAATGAGCCCCTGTCCCGGGGCATAAAGGGCGAGAGAGTTATGGAGCATCCCCTGCCGAGAAGGCCCCATTCGCCTTGCCCTCGCGTGGCATCTCCGTCTTGGAACCTTCTAGGCCCTCGCGCCTCCCACCCGTCCTTCTGTCTCGGGGAGCACAGGAAGAAATAACTGGGGCCGGTCTGGTCCAAACAGATCAAGTTTTCTGAAGTCAAGATTTTTCTTTTTTTTTTTTAAGTAGAAGCGGAAAGGGATGCTGTGAAGAAAATGGAAACTGGCAAAGTGCTTTAACTTCAAATAGTCTTCCGATCAGCGCGGGCACACACACCCCACGCTCTTTTCTCCACGTACAGACAGCTGAGCAGTTAGGGGAAGTGGGGGGTGGGGGAGAGGAGGGGAGCTGGAACGCAGGTATCCTGACTTCTGATTGCTCGGCGGGAGAGCGGCCTTTCTTTTGGATTCATTAACCCCCAGGAGCCTCGAAAATGATCTGCGACACGCAATCAAATGGCCACGCAGAAAACACGCGTGTTTAGAAAATACTCTAAGTCATGGCTCACGCCTGGCCAAACTATGTCTTCAAGGCTTTGCAACAAAAGTGCCTGCCTTTGGAGCATCCAATGACTAACGTGCTATTTTTCCACAGCGGCACTGCACTGAGATCTGGGAGATGCTTCCTGTTTGAACAATCCCTCCCCTGCTCGCGAAGGTGTATGCCCCGTGGCACGAAACCGGCGCTTCAGCAGCCAGGCTGCTGCTTCTGAACAAGAACCGTCCGCCTGACACCACCTGGGGAAGGACCCGGACTCCTTTGCCCCTCACCGGGGCATGCGCAGACTTGGGAGAACATCTCTTGAAACGCAGTCACATCCTGAAGGCTGCATGTTACGTTTTCCCTTCTAAGGCTGACAGAATGCAACTGGCATAGTTTCAATGGTTGTGGGTTTTTTTTTTTCCCCCAGAGGATGTAAGTAGTCTTCAGTTCTGAGAGTAGAGCTAGACCAGGGGCCAATGGCTAACAGCTCAAGGGGTAAAACACGCTTTGCTCTCTGGCTCCAGGGCGGTAGCTGGTGAAACTAAGGCTCCTCAGGGTGACTCCGAATGATAAGAATAATATTAATAGTAATTATATATGTGTTGTTATTATAGTGCCTTTCACTTGTTTACCAGATAATGAGTGACACTCGTATCCGTTGTCTCAGTGAAACTAGGTAACATCATTTCAAGACAGGTACTTTGTGATCTTTACTATGTAGGTGAGAATTCAAGAGCTCAGAGAGGTTAATGAATGTGCCGAGGTCACACAGCTGGCGAATGAAAGAGGCAGAATTCACACCGGAACTGGCCTGAATCCAAAGCTGTGTTCTTAATCCCTGGGCTAGTCTGCCCCTTAAACTGCTGCCCCTGGTTGCAGTGACCCTGGTTCACTCTGTAGCCACCGTGTCGTCTTCTGTCAGCGCTGGCCTGCCCAGCACCTCACCCCACGCCCCACGAGGGAGGACGGGTAGCCAAGTGATTAGGGGGTGTGCGGGCTGGCGTCACGATGCCTGGGTTTGAAACCTGGCCCTGTCACTTGCCAACGCCGTGACCCCGTGTGAATGTCCTAGCCTGTGCCTGCACGTATAGAGTGGGAATATTAGACATCTCTGCCTAATACGGTATAAAAATAAAGTGCAATAATGTACTTAAATGTAGGATAGATTCTGGTACCTGGTAATCATTTAGTGTTAGGAAAGGAAGGAAAGAAAGAGAAAAAGAAAGAGAAGGAGAGGAAGGGAGGAAGGAGGAAAGGGAAAAGAATAAAGGAAAGAAGAGAAAACAAAATAAATGAGAAAAGAAAAGAAAGAGGGAAACCGAAGGAAGGTGGGGTGTGTTCTTGCACCCCTGAATGCCGCAGAGAGGTGCCGTTGCCCACAGAGGACGCTCGGGCACTGGGGGGGGGGGGCGGGGGGGCACAGGGGAGACCCACCGGAGGCCCCAGACAAGCCAGGTGGGCAGCCCCAGGGCCTCCCCAGGCACGTGTGGGCCCCACTCCCCTGGTGTTGGTACTCATTCCAGGCAGCCTCTCTACCCCCCAACTTCCCAAGCCGGTGACAGCAACGTTCCGGCGGCCCAGCTTCCACGTGCCGAAAGGGAAGCGACACCATCCTATTCCAGCCCCATCAGCTCAGGTCAGGCCACATGACCACCCCTGAGCCAATCACCGAGACCTCCAGGTGGCTGAGACCCGGGAGGAAGGTCACGCGCTGATTGGCTTTCTCTCCTCATGTGTTTCACCTCTGCTGAGGACCGGAGCCCCGCAGACCGTGAAAGCGGAGGGAGGAAGGAGTCTCTGGGGAGAAACTGGGTGAAATGACCAGAAAAGGCCAGAATGCACAAGCAGCGAGCTGGTACGGACCTCCATCCAAACTTGCCCGCTAAGAGCGTGTCCTGTGCCTGGCCTTGCCGGTCTCAGGTGGGTGGGTGTGGTCAGGAGCTAGTGCTCCGTGGGCGCCTGCTGGGGCTGGATGCCAGGCTCCGGTACCAACCGGCTGTGTGACCCTGGGCGGGTTCATCTACCTGTCTCTGCCTCGATTTCCTCCTTGGTTAATGCGGTTAATAATATTATCATTCTCAGGGATTGCTAAGTATTACCTGTGTGCCTGTCAACTGCCCAGCATCTCCTGCATGCATACCAAGCCCCCAACAAATGTCAGCCATTGGTCATTTGACAGTTACTCGCCGAGTACCCACTCCCTGCCAGGCTCCGTACTGAGTGCGTGGGGTACATCGGCGAGCGAAACGGACCGACAACCAGATCCCTGACCTTGTGGAGCTGATATGCCAGTGCGGAGAGAGATCACGGACGATAAGTAAAATAATAAGACAATACTATGGAAGTTCGGGGAGAACTGTACGGAAAAAAGAAAGTCACGGTAAAAGGGATCAGGAGAGTAGCAGCAGGAGGAGGGAGCAGCACTGTCCTGCACTGCCAGCGCAGGGGCGAACGCATGAAGGTGGTGACAGGTGAGTCAGGATCCGGGGAGTTTGAGTGAAGAGGCCAATAGATCGAACGTGGCGGGGGTGAGGGCGTCAGGCAGTGCCGAGCCCCAGAGTGGGAGGCTGCGCAGGGCTCCTGAGGACCACCAGCAAGGGGGCCTGTGAAAACCAGGGAGGGCAGGAACGACGCCACAAGGGAAGAGAGGGCCGCATCAGGAAGGGCCTGGGGGGTGCTGGGTTGCACTCTGAGCAAACAGGAGCGGAGCCCCTGGCCGCTCTTTGCGTAGACTGGAGCGCCGGAGAGCTGGGGCCCGATGGACCCTGAGGATAGGACAGCTCCTTTGAAGAGAATGGCAGGCCATCTCCTAAGAACTTCACTCTGTCCTTGATGTGTCAGGCTTTCTTCACGGGCTGAGAAGAGAAGATTCTCTAGGGGGGACGCCCCGCCAGCAGGGTGGGGTGCAGGGTCTGTGGCACTCCCTAGACTTGCAGAGAGCTCAGTCCGCTGCATGTTTGGGCCGGGCGAGCCACGGGGAGCATTCAGGGCAGAAAGAGGCCTATTTAAATGCTTAATATCCCCAGCCTCCGAGAAGCCATCCATTGAGGCGTCTCATTTGCAGTTTGTCTAAGATCTT